AGAGTGCTTTCTTCACTCATTCTATGTATTGTACTCTATTTTTGTTGCATGTCTATTTAGGGATTTCGAGCATGAATTTCTTGTAAAATATTTACAGTTGCTTTCTGTTTTACGAAAAAATCCATGCACCTCCATAAACTCTCATCTGTCTTTGGGCATATCAAAAGCATTTGCAGTTAACAGGAAGACTATGATTCTCAACTGCGCAAACTTTGGAGAGAAAGTCGTTAAAAGTTTTGTAATTCGCACGAGCAGCTACGACCGCGAATCCCCTGCGGCTGAACTCACCAGATCTCTGTCTACTGCAGCGAGGATTAATCATTACCCGTCTAGCCTATTTCGAACGTTACTTTGTGCTCGAGGGATGCGGTCCGAAATTCTTTCGGGATGCCGTTGCCCGACGAGGAATTGATAATCGTGCAGTGCCGCTGAATGGATGAATTAGTAAATTTCCGTAGTCGGGTGGATTTGGAATTTCAGCTCGACATTAGTTGGTCGTCAATATTTGCAGTCGTTAGCGAGTAACATTTCTGTGCCAACATCCACTTTTCCTTGGAACCTTTACGGTAGAGCGCACATTGGCAACAATTTTGAGAAATTCATAGAAAAACTACCCCTTTCCCCGATTTATAATGTACGAAAATCGTACCAAATTATGAAATGTTAACCGGGATTCAGAAATGCGCTTTTAGGGCTGGAAAAAATTACCTAAGTAGGGTTATAATACTTATAACCGCGAAACAAAATTTTAAGATTTTTGAGCTACTTCGGAATGCCAGCTTTTCAACGAACTTTTTTGGCTGTCTGAAAAAACAATAATTTGTAACAAACGACTTCCCATGCAGCGTGAATTTTTCTCATCGATTTTCGATGTCCTTATAAATTTTAATATATTCAGTATAAAAAACGGACAAAAATATTCCTTCTTTTACTCATTTGGTAGGAAATCACGTGTGAAAATTTTATACTTGAAAAAGGGTATAAATCGATTTTAAAAACTCCTTCAATTCCTGAGTAATTTTGAATTTGACCTTCCATGGCACTTATATTCAGGGTTTCCAAACTACGAGTTTCATATTTTCCGTGTATAGAAAACCATATATTTTTACGCAGTTTTAGGAGGAAAGCATATGACGTACACAACATTTAGCAATAAATTTAAGCCGTATTGTAAATTTTACACACAACACTAGTAAATGCATAGGCACGATACTTTACGAACGAGCCCTTCCTGGTCTCAAAAAATTCATACCCCTTTTCCGAGTATAAAATTTGATGAAAACGTTATTGTCTGCTGAACGAGCAAACGAATTAATATCTCTAAGCGTGTTTTCTGGGAAATATATTTGAGTTTATAACGGCATCGAAAATCGAAGAAAAAAATCATGCTACCTAAGTAGTCATTTTTCATCGTGTGTAATTTTTGCAGGTGGCCGTAAAGACGGTTTGTTCAAAAGCCGGCATTCTGAAATAAGTGAATTATCATGGAATTATCCGGCAATGGGATCAATATTACGACCCTACTTAAGTAATCTTTTTGAGTCGAAAACGTTTTTAGAATTTTGGCCAACACTTCATAAGTTAGCACATCTAATGTACTTGTCTTTTCCATGCAGCGAACTTTATGCCAGAGGGTAAAAACGCCGTTCGTCAACCAGGAAAACAAGTACAAGAGGTCCGGCTTCCGTGAGATTAAATGTCAGAATCGACAACTATCGAACCGGTTTCTTGCTCAGAGAAAAGGATTTCAAAAAATATTATGAGAGACAGGTTCGTAAAATTCAGTCAGTCAGTATCAGTCAGTATATTTGGAGTAAACGACAGAAGCCCTGAAAACTCCATTTAGACGGTACAGATGTAATGGAAAATAGTTAAATTGCAAAAATTTTGTTTGCAACTTTAGTAAGGAGAATTCATAAGTATAATAATGGAACATAGGTGCAAAATGGGTATGGAATTCGTGAAATAATTGCGAAAAACTTTGTTCACCGCATTCCGACGGCGAAAATTTCCATATGGGTTAATTTTGACGCACGAAAAGGATCTTTTGATATCATGTTCGCAGTATATTTACAGTAATTTCAGTAATCCTTTAGATCAGGCTTCAGCGCCCAAACAAGGCAATCTAGATGCAAATGGTTTTTCTGACGTATGCATCCGACTGTCTGCCGCACCTGCCACTGCACTTACATTGGTGAGGCATCAAAGTTGCCTAATTAATTTGTGCAAACCGGAGGTGCGAAAGGGCTCCACGTCGATATCAACATCCCAGAGCAGGCAGTGAGGTTGGCACAAAGACAAGGGCGCGAGACGGCAACAAGACAGGTCCAAATCTGCGCTATGCTGCAACCTTCCGCACAACTCAACGGGAGGGAATATGGGACTGCCTCCCACATATCAGGCTTTTTGCTCCCACCGTCATGTGGCTCCGCCCTGTTGTCAACACAGGCATCTACTTTGCTGCTGTTCTTTCAAGTTGAACTCTGGCATGAGCTTCGAAGTTCAGATAAATGCAATGCGGTTCCTGAAAATCAACCCTCTCCGTTTTCGACTTCATGCTTTTTCACTTATTTGATGCATATAATCCGCGAGGGTATTTCAAGAATTTCTTCCCTTTTCCTAAAGGAGGTAGTTTCAAACCACATAAAATATTTGTCCGCATTCAAAGCAGCAGGAATTCCTCGTTAATATACTCAGTAAACCCAAGGGAACTATAATAAATTCAAAAAAAACGTCTTAAATGCCAAAGACAGGTTTATTTTCAAATGAAAATGTCTAACTTTGTTTAATTTTCGAGGAAATTAACGCACGCATTAGAGGTCAATTCCTCTGAACAGACACTTTCAGGTGCGGTCTTAAAGTTGATATGAATATCTGAGTTGAAATCTCTCGGCTACTGCGAAATGACCGCGTAATATTTACAGACCCCTAACAGGCAGCCAGTAGTATACATTCGAGTAATTATTTTAGCTAGCGCCTGTGTTTTCAGTATGGCAAATAATCACAAATGCCTAGATTTTCTGTCCAACATAGTTCGCTGACTTACCCGGTTAATTTTTTTCTTCTCAATCCCCATTGTCTACATTGAATGACCGACAGCAATACCTTTGTCATAATAAGGCGGAAGATGATCCCAGTATTCCAGCTTGCCTCAGATTCAAAGCTAAGGTGGAGCGCAGCAACGGGCTACCCTTCCTGGACGTCTCTCCGAGTGGAGGCTTAGCTCCCCACAGGAGGGCAGACGCCTATAACAGCGAACTGGGTAACAAAATGGGCAACGGTATGGAGAAAGACCCCACTTAACTGACGGCTCACTGTGGGGCACCTCATAGGGGCTTTTATCTTGGCATCCATTTGCAGGCTTTTGCAGACATTACACTGCCAATAACAATTGCCTCCCATGACTTCAAACCATCATTCAAACTCTTGTATTTTTTGAAATTTACTTTTTGCTTATTTTTAAATGCCGCACTCATTTCCATTGTTGTACGAGGGCGTACGAGGAGTCTTTCAGGAGAAATTCAAACAATTTCCGTGTTTTCCTCCATTTTGCCAGCTGACTGTCTAGTGCGCAGCCCCATCCGTAAAACTCGCCTTACCGTCAATCACCTATGACGCGATCCACAGTCTACCGACAGTAAAGTGGGGTCCTTCTCAGTACTTTTGCCACAAAATGTTTAAATTTTACCACCTTCAGAGCCTTTTCAAAGGCCATCGGGCGTCCTTACACTTCCAGACATCCCAGCTTGATTCAACGCCTAGAGTCGAACGCCTCCAAAACCCGCTGGGGATCGGCATCGTCCATGGACTGGAGGCAGTATGCCGGCATCTGGTCATGGGATTTAAAGCCCTTTGCCATGAACGCCATCTATCGGACCCATGGTAACTCCTAAAACGTTGACTTCATTGGAGGCGCCGGCAAACGACTGCAGCCTCGCGTCAGAAGACACATGGGGACAGAGAGCAGAACGAACCACTCGTTTCTGGTGGTGGAACGTGAAGCAAACTCTGTACGTACCCCGAAATCTTGAGCTGACTGAGCAATAGGGGTCTAACATATGAGGACAGCTCTATTTCATGGTCTGGAAAGCCTCGGAAATCAGCTCGACGAACGAATTATTGGACGTTAAGAAAAACCGAACACAAAACCGGGTCAAGCTAGACCTCCTCAGATGCAGGCAACGATCATCATCGGCTAAACACTGGTCCCCGATCAAACCGCAGGACAAAAGGCGTGAAAGTGGACGTCCTCCACGGTAGCCCACCCTAATCACTTGGACAGATTAGAATGGCCGTCGCGCTTTGCTGTGAGGGGCAACACAATACTCACCTCCAGTGATGAATGCTCATTTACATTTGAGACGACAGGGTAGTACTAACACATTTCCCGATGCTATCTCGATGCTTCTTCCGAATCAGTGCTTCGTCAAACCGGCGCCACAGACGAGGTAAAGGACCTCCTTCGACATCAAGTCTCTTCACTTTTCATGTCGCACCGGAAAACCCATTCCCTGCTAAGAGATGAACAAACGGCCCTAAGGGAGCTGAAAGCGGACACCGAAATAGTTATTCTGCCTGTTGACAAAGGCCGGTCAACCGTCATCCTCGACAAGGTGCACTACCGACGCAAAGCCCTCCTGCTCCTCAACGATCGAGAGTCCTACAAAGTCAGCGACGCCACCAGTCTAAAGTCCCTAGTGGCAAAGGTTAACAGAATTCTGGCTCGACTAAAAAAGGACAAGGTCATCACCGTCAAAGACTGGTATATAGCAAAGCCCGCAGAAACCGCTATGGCGAGATTCTATGGTCTCCCAAAAGTACACAAGCCAGATGTTCCCCTGCGTCCTATCGTCTCACTCCGAGGCACACCCACATACGAACTTGCAAGCTGGCTATTTCAGAAGCTACGATTCCTAACTGCAGACACATAAACAACGGTGCACTCAGCAGAACAATTCCTTGACAAAATAAGGGCAGTCACGATCGAACCGAATGAAAGGATGGTGTCTTTTGACGTCGTCTCACTCTTCACGTCCATACCACAGGCTCTTGCGGTCGAAACGCTCAGTGACCGTCAAAATTACGACGGGGGTGATGGCCAGCCCACAGCTCAGGATCTCATAGAACTCATGGGGCACTGCCTCAAGACATTCTTTACCTTCGAAGGGACCACATACGAGCAGATCAAGGGCACTCCAATGCGTTCACCAATCTCCGGACTCATTGCCGAGGCGGTTCTACAAAAACTCGAGAGACGACTATTCGAGGAGTACAAACCCCAGTTTTGGGCACGCTACGTTGATGACACCTTCGTAATCATAGACCAGGATAAAATCAACTACTATGCGGAAGTACTGAACTCAATCATGCCCGAGCTACAGTTCACGATGGAAGAGGAAGTAGAGGACAAACTTCCATTCTTGGATGTTCTCGTCTGCCGCCAACCAAATGGCGAACTAGCGACGTCGGTCTACAGAAAACCGACGAACACGTTGCAAATTCTCAGCTACCACAGCAACCACCCGCCACAAAACAAACGAAGCTGTGTCCGCACGCTGTACCGACGGGTGGAAACTCATTGCAGCACGCCATCCGCCAAACTGGATGAGATAAAGCTACACCGAGAACTCTTCAGAGCCAATGGCTATCCGCGGGCATTCATTGAACGAAGCCGGAGGCAGCCAAAGAAGCGGAACGAAGAGCATAGTCCGTACATTAAAAGGGTCTCGGAAGTCGTGGCCCGATCACTCGCGCCACTCGGAATAGGTGTTGCCCACAGGCCTGACTCAACAATCCGCCGGCAAGTGATGCGGCCGAAAGATCCGATCCCTAAGCAGGAGATGTCGGCCGTTGTCTACCGACTTCAATGCAGCTGCGGAAGTTGCAACTACGTTGGGGAAACCGACCGACGGCTGCAAACGCGAATGCACGAGCATAAGTTGGCCTTGCGAAGGTTGGACCCAAAGTCGGAGGTAGCAACCCATGCCGCGCAAATGGGACACATCTTCAACTTTGACGCCGTTGAGATTGTTGGCCGGGGCAGCGATCACACAGCAAGGCAAGTGCAAGAAGCCTGGATGTCCACCGACCGCTCTGTCAACCGCCACATCAATTTGCCTCCCCCCTACCTGACTTTACGAACCTTCTTAGCGGGGGACAGTCACGGCGCGGGACAATCGGGGCCGTCAGTCATCACCGCGGCCGACGGGGGCGATTCAGGTCACGGTAACATGCGGGTTGGATGCAGCCACACAGGCGGCATTGGCGGATCACGCATTGGACAAAGGGCGCCATAATAAGGAGTGCTGTGCACAGGACCTCCCAGTCCCTGAAGCTGGGTAGACGGATAAACTACCCGAAAAGTCGGATCTCAAATGAACCCCTCCCCGTGAACGCCCCCTCTTCTTTTGATATGCCACCTGGGAATCGGATTTTCACTACTATTGATGAGACTTAACTGCATTTAGCAAACCCTGTTGCGATGTTTCACCGGCATCAACCAATTTTCCTGGCCGAGGATCTATTAAGGAGCATATGGGTCCACATTTATACGAACCTACTTTGCCAACAAACAGATACACCGTCAAGGGCTTGTCTATTTCTAGGCAGTTTTAGAATATTAAAATAAAGCTACTGCATAAAATTAAGTAGACATCTATGTGTGAGTATATTTTCAAACGCGCAAATGCTTGGCGGGAACGGCAATGTTATGCGAGATTAGGCACTTTACAATCTCGAGACATTTAGCTGGATTCATTTAGTCAATTTCAGATCGTCGGTTTGCAATTTTTATAGGCCTCTTTGCCTTTTATAATTGAGAAAATGCACGTTCTGTACGAAGTGTGAAAAGAGAAGTCATAATGGCTGTCGGATCTTTTAGATAAAAATGTTTCTTCTGAGATCGGAGTGTTCTCTGCCGATTTCACACAAATATACACTCGGATAGTCTGTTTTACCTACCTATAAGCCTGGTTAATCAATATCGAATGCGGGCCAGCGGCGCATTCGCTGAATCACAGGTATTGCCAGCTTCGGGGATTTGGGCGTTGGTAGAGGGAGCGCTCACCAATCGTTTCTACGGTACTCACTCGTCCCGTTGTGCCTTGGGGAGTTCCACACTTCAGGGTTGGGTACGAATGGCTGATGAAGGCCAATAATCCAGAAATAGCCATGCAAGTCTCCCTTGTCTTTGTCGGTAATAACATTCTGCCTATATCATGCGCCGCTGTGCGGCTGCTGGTTGGACTTGAGAGAGAGCCCTAAGACACAACGGGACGAGTGAGTTCCGTAGAAACGATCGGTGAGCGCCCGTCTACCAACGCACAGATCCCCGATCGTAAACGACAGGACAACGAGACAGTTGCCCAGTGGTTAGGGGCGTTGGACTTCTAACTAACAGGTCGCGAGTTCGAGCGTACGGTGTTCCACACTTTCGGGTTGGGTATGACTGGCTGACGACGGTTAATAAGCCAGAAAAAAGCCATTCTAGTCTCCATCGTCTTTGCCGGTAATAACATTCTGATCTGTGTGTTATCGCTGTTGAAGTGTTATACAACACCTTTGTGCGGCGATTTGCGGGCAAGGATTAGCTATATGTCAAGAGTCAGATAAAGGGGGCTTCTTGAGCTTTTCTTACGAAAATTGCGTTAATAGGAGTTATACGGGGTGGCCTCATAGAAGCCTATAGAAGGAAACTATGCAACAGGAGCCCCATGTCCGGCAGGGCAGTATGGGTCCACGAGGACGAAATGCGGTACCGCTTTTGATTTAGGCTGAACATCGTGAGACTAAAGGAGGCATTGGAGAGTTTTCTACTCTGTAGTGCCGAAGCAACGAAGTAGATCGTGTCGTGATCTTCACCGTCGGGCACCCCGACATGACGGCAATGTTGGCAGTGGGAATATGCGTAGAGGAGACGACTCTTGCGTAACCCCAATTGCGAAAAAATCTTTTGTCTTTTACTAAAGAATTACATATAGGGGGTATAGAACAATGGGTCTATACAGGCATTTTTGTAACAGCGCGTCCTTGGGACGGTCTAGTTCAAAGAATGTCATTCTGCCGGGATTAGAAGGTCGTGACTGGATTGAAGTCAATTTAGTAAGGGGATAAGGCCTCCGTCCTTGAGCTCCCTGTTCATATCGATAACCAAAAATATAATCAATGGTTGTATCAGAAAATCTGGAAATTCAAAAGTTACCGATAAGTGTGAGCCAGGCGCAAAAAACCATTGCTAAAAAATCGTGATTATATGTGCAGTAGTTTCGCAGAAACTGAGCGTCTAGTCTGCACTGAAAGGATTCAACAGTTTCGGAAATAACCGCCGCACCAGGGAGTACGTTCTATGTGCCAATGACCCTCTGTGAGAGAAGACGTTCTGTCAGACGTCCGAATGGGCCAGCTTCCTCTACATCTAAAAGGGATGACCACGTAGGGGGTCCGTCCCGGCCAATTCAAAGAATTCGACAAAGTCAAGGGCGCCCTCACGGCCTCTGACAATCCGGTAGGTTTGAATGAGTTCGCCGCGCAGTTGCCTGTAATTTAGAGGAAATAGATTTAGTTAGGTCAGCCTGGTTTCGTAAGGCAAATGATCAAGACTCTTGACCATTTTCGTAGCTATTGCCTGTACTCTTTCCAGTTGTTGATAATCTTTCTTCAACCACGGTCGCCAGGCCTGGACTGCATATTCTAAGTGGGACCGAACGAATGCCCCGTAGGCTTTTCCGAACAGTTCTTTATCGCTCTGCACAAATTCACGCCCCAACGTAAATAACACCCATATCGCGTGTTTGGTTTCAGCGAGGAGGTCATTAAGAAGCCGAGGTCTTTCTGGTCCACAACATTTGAAAGGGGCTGCCCGTCAAAGATGTATTGAAAGGAATCATCCTCCTTTGGTGCGGAGTCTCAGGACCATACGTTTGCCCATACAAGAGTTGAGGAGCCAACGAGCTGACCAACTGCTCAGGCGGTTGAGACCGTCTTGAAGTGTTAGGGGGCGCTCACCGATCGTTCATACGGAACTCACTCGTTCCGTTGTGCCTTATGGACTCTCTCTCGATCCCAACCAGCAGCCGCACAGCGGCGCATGATATATAGGCAGAATGGTATTGCCGACAAAGCGCATACCTGTCTGCGTCAGATTTGATAGCTCTCCACTGCTTAACATTGTCAGGAAACATGACGGCGTTGAATCCCAGGTCATCGACGCAGTCGTTAATGTAAACTAGGGGCAGCAACGGCCCTAAGACTGAGCCCTGGGGGACACCACTTGAAACGAGGGTATGGAATTGACCAAGAACTCTACCGAGCAACGCCTACGTAAATAAATATACTAGACAGTTCACGATGTTAGCCCTACCCCGGCCACATACCTAACGTCCTTAGGGTTGGTACTAACTCTTATTTCCTTGTAGACCGTGTGGGCTATTGCACAACTCAATGGACTGCTTTCGACATCCGTGACATCTGTGTATACAGACCCGAAACATGTCCAAAGCCATTTAAAAACTCAGCCCCTTGGCCATCAGACAAAATGCTGGTCAGAGTCACCGTCATATGTGAACAAACGCGAGTACTAATTCGCATTTCGGGGCTCGGGTGCCATTTTTCGGCGCGATGGACACACATATGTGTTGATGTGTGTGAATCATTTACGATCCTATTTAAGGCATCTTTCCGTCTTCGACCTCATGACCCGCAGCTTTTGAAGGAGACACAAATGAACCGAATCCGCGAATTCTTAGCAGAAATTCTTGAATGCCTCTTGATGTATAAAGCTTGATTCCAGTAAACAGGCGACATAAACTCTAGTTAAGTCCTATACTATAGAAGGAGGTAAATTTTGACTGGGGATTTCCTTCCGATGTTATGTACGAATTGCAAATCAAACACTGCAGATTACCGACAAGTGAATTAAACAATGCTACTTTTAAGGCTACAGTAACCACTTACAACTTTGTGAAATGTTATGTCAACACTATATGCACTCCAAACACTTCACTCTTTAGGAAGTTTGTCAGACGCTTGTCCAACTAATCTTACATTTCAAAAGTGAAAGTCTGGTAAGAACGGGATTCGAGCATTTAAAAAAGTTCTGTTGGCTTGAGCTTTCGAATTCACGTACCTGCTCATCATCGGACAGAACAACAGATTTGAAGAAAAAGAAGAAGAAGAAGAAGAAGAAGAAGAAGAAGAAGAAGAAGAAGAAAAAGAAGAAGAAGAAGAAGAAGAAGAAGAAGAAGAAGATGATGATGATGATGATGATGATGATGATGATGATGATGATGATGATGATGATGATGATGATGATGATGATGATGATGATGATGATGATGATGATGATGATGATGATGATGATGATAGGCTCACCGGAACAGGTTTATTTAGATGCTGACGTTTCGAAGAGCTTCGTCGGTTCTGCGTTGTCAAAGCGCAAAATTCACTTAATCGACCAGAAATCCCAAAGGGCGTGTCACGTTGGTCGGCCTCGTGCTGATCGTTTTTTCTCTCCTTTCGCCGCCTCGGCCTCTCGGGGGATGATTGACGGGCGTTTTGTCTGCGTGCTTGGTGAGTCACCACTCCGTCGGGGGGAGCTGATTGAACCAGTATCGCGTGGTCGGTCTGGCGGTTCTTGTTATTCTTCACCGAGTCAACTCGCCGTCGGGCTGTCTCCGTATGGTCTTCTTGAGCCCGGCGTGGTTGTTTGGTCCTGAGCTCTGCGATTGTGATGACGTAGAGATAATACAAATATCGCAAGATTCGCCATACTGACAGCAGGCAGGTGCTAGCCAGAAGCCCAGGCACGTGCTTCGCCGATCCCTTATCGTTGCATGATGCAGCTGCACTGAGCTTGGCTCATCATTACGCCTTCTTGTAAGTGGCCCAGTTTTAGAATTGCGGCTGTCCCTGTGGCAGTCCGCCCTCATGGTGGCCGCTGCAGCTACTCATTCATGTGGCCTTCAGTCCACCTAACGCCCCCCACCATTCGGCCGCTCCAGCCGCTCGTATCTTGGCACCATCCTGACGAAGGCTCGAGGCCAGTCGACGCTGTATCATTCTTCGATAACTAGCTGCGGACAGACAAGACCCAGTCGCATGCAAGCATTCCACGCCTGGTTAAGAACCGTAACGGCTGTCACTCGTCTGACAAGATGGCTCGCCATGACCGCCTGTTGGCCGGCTTTCTCGCCTGAGCAAATTGTGTCCAAACAGCTCTCGGATCTGGTGCAGTTGCCGACAAAGCAACTACGTCGGAGAAAGCCGAAGACTGCTCCGAAAGCGAATGGAGGAGTACGCTGCAGCAGTGCGGAGAAATAACGATAGCTCTCAAGTTGCGGCTCATTCGACCAGATCTGGCCACACATTCAAATTCGACGAAGCCGAAATTCTCGCTAGAGGTGACAACCGCGGGAGTCGGGAGCTGGTTTACTGGCCCCCAGTCCATTAACAAGTGCAACGGACCTCCCCATCCATATTCACTGCTGAGACTTCGCCTAGGCGGAGTAACTAACCACAGGTGAGCACTTTTCATAACGCCATGGTCGGTGGATCAGATGGTCGAGCAGTCATCACACCAGCATCCAACTTCCGCGATGAAATTGCCGCAATTAAAGGCGCGAATGTCGGCCACCGAGCAGTCATGACAACAAGTGCAACATTCCCTGATGAAGAGGGTGGGGAAAGTCGTGAACTTTCATAAGTATGAGGTAGAATTGCGACTGTATCCTATAAATATTGCGGCCTCATGTGCATGATTAACACATATCTGTTGTTGTTCCGATGATGGATTTGGGCAGGAATCCGAAACTTCGGGCGAATAAAGCTCTTGTCCAATCGATCTTATCTCGTCCACAAACTGCTGTCTCTCTCCCTGACTTTTGGCATGCTAACTTGGAACAACTTCTGTCGGACCGGGCCTGAAAAGACTTGTGTCAACGGTTTTGTCCTAAGTTGGCGCATTGATTTCCGATGAAATTAAAAGTCTGAGATGAGGGTGGTGAAGGCGCAGGAGTGGAGTACTCATGAGATGCAACTACTCTGCCATCACGCTCCTGTCAAAATCAGCGGCTTCTTCGGTATTTGTTCGTAGATGATGCGATAATTGCCTGTTTCGTCGCATCCGACTAGATGTTTGCCACGATGTGGTGCAGATTAGGCCGTTGGGTCGCCTCGAGAATTTCAAAACTTTTTGTTTGATGTTTTTCACACAAAATATCAGCTAATCACAGGTTAATGACTGAATTGGAATAAACTGAAGGTTGTGTTTTGTGACAGAGTCTTATTGTTATTTCAAAACTGGCACGAAAACGTGCTAGGAACTAGTAAAAATGAGGTGATGAATGGACAAAATGCTCTACACATATGACGTCGAATTTTTTGACAAAGTCGTTGTCCTCTGGTGGATGCATGTAACTTCGGTTGCCATTTTTCGCACTAACAGCAGGTACAGTTTGACGTTGTCTGATATCTCCGACTCTACTTGGTAAAATCCACTCCAATTTTTTAAATAATTTTAGTATATGTTCAGTAACACATCGCTTATTATATTTCGTGGCAACACACATAAAAATATTCATTCTTTTTGCTCAATTGGTAAAATTTGGCGACTTTTTTCAATTTTATACTCAAGGAAGGTGTATAATTCGGTTTTAAAAAAGTTTCCAATTTTCGATTGTTTAAAACCGTGAAATGGCCATTCATAAATCTTCACGTCTCTGCATTTACTAATGTGGTTTGTTAAGTTAACAATATGGCTCAGATCCACTGCTATATTTTATGAACCCCACATGCTCTTCTCTCAATACCGTAGAGAAATGTATGGTTTTGCATACGCAGAAATTAGACGACTTGTAGTTTGGAAACCCTAATTGCAAATGCAACGGTAGGTCAGGGTTCATAATTATTAGGGAATCGGAAAAGTTTTTGAAAACCGAATCCCACCCTTTCTTCGAGTACAAAATTGTGAGAAGGCGTTATTTTCTACCGAGGGAGTAAGAGAATGAATATTTTTTATATGTGCTTTCCATCAAATACAATTGAATTTTTAATGGCATCGAAAGTCAATGAGAAAATTGCACGCTACTCAAGTAGTCATTTTTTGCAGAGTACAGTTCTTGCATGCAGTCGGAAATAAGTTCATTCGAAAACCGATACCCTCAGGTAACTGGATCATTATAGAATTATGCTGCATGATGATTAATTTTACAACCCTACTTAATTGATCTTTTCAAAAGGAGAACGCATTCCCAAATTTCGGTTGACATTTCATGAGTTAGCCCACCTACTGTATATGATTGCATGACAAGCGTATCCCGTAAATACTGCATCTCTTGTGTGCCCAATATACATATCCGTGCTCGTTTCTGATGTAGGGTTCATGTGAGAAACATCCGAGATGTCAGACAAGTAAAGTTCCTGTTGCATCGACCGTATCTGCTTCTGCTCAGCTCGCCTTTCCACTTGTTTCGACTCCTCAGTCCCTCTTTGGCGAGTTCTCTCGTCTCGGAAGCCGTCAGTCGTCTTCCCACTCCATTTGGAGTTGCGGTTGCACACAGGCCGGAAGCACCCATCAGGCGCCAAGTCATGAGGCCGAAAGACCCGCTGCCACGACAGGAAACGTCTGGAGTCGTTTATCGAGTCTGGTGTAGTTGCAGACAAAGCAACTACGTCGGAGAAAATGGGAGATTACTCCGTTCGCGAATTGCCGAGCACGCGGTAACAGTGAGGCGGGGGGACGCTAGCTCTCAGATGGCGGCTCATTCCACGGGACCCGGTCTTATTTTCAAGTTTCAAGAGGCCGAAATCCTCGCAGGGGGTGACAACCGCGTGAGCCGTGAGCTGCTCGAATCATGATTATCAGGAACACAATCCGCCAAAAAGCGCAATAACCTCCCAGTACCATATTCGTGCCGAGACATTCCCTGAGCAGAGGAGTCAGTCACCTGGGGTGGGCGCGGGCGCTGAACTATCCTGAGGATAGAGAGCAAAATTGCCGAGTAATCATCACGTCAACATCCGACACGGATGATGAAATTGCGGCAATTAACGACTCAGAAGAGGATTTACGAGCCATCCTCGTCTTAATCACGACCCTTAGTGGTGATCGTGAGAGCTGTTAATTATAGTGCGCATGTGACCCCACGGCAGTTACGTACTATAAATATTGCAGCCATTGTGTCTCCAATACCCTTATCTAATGGTGGGTTCGAGTGAGAATCCGAAATGTCAGCGCAGTAAAACTCTTGGTCCAGTGATCGTATCTTCTCCTTCTGAATAAATTTCTCGTTGCATCGATCATACCCCCTTCTGCTCAACTCGCCAGCTCGATTGTCTCGGCTCCTCAGTACCGTTTTGAGGCGAATTTTTACTTCTGGGCAGATGGTGAAGATTTAAAAGGAATCGACTGGCACCCACCGGTTTGACAGAAAATCTTGGAACGGAGTACAACATTCTAGGACGTCGCGGATCATCTGGAGTCAGTCTGTACACACATGTGGCACAAAGACGCTTTTGAAAAAAATGCGCAGTTTACGGTCCCACCCCCTCTGCGCAGAGTGGCGGCACCACTTCCTGCATCAAATTACTCATCTGCACGTTTTGTTGAATTTCAAATTACTCCCAGCATGCGTCTCCAAATTTCCGGCGAAAGGTACCGTAAACAGCGGGACCGAAAGAAGAGCAAACAAAGCCTGGACAGCAGAAGCAGGGCGACTTTTAAAAAACCCGCACTCGGTCAGGATGACCAGTTCTACCTCACTTTCGGAGCATCGGTCACCTGACACATCAATAATCCTTTATCGAGCTAGGACGGTCGATAATGCGACCCTACGCTACGAACAGGTCGAGATAGCCCAAGCAAAACTGCCAATGCCGCCCAGTGAAGAACAAAGGCAGTGGGTGGACGGTCAGTTAGTGATAACGAAACCAACACCAGTTGGAATGTACCGCCTAGCAGTTAATAAACATTAACTTAAGCAAACATGAACAAATACGAGTTCGGGAAATGACTTATAAGTTAAATAGCAATAGAATGTTCCGCATAAGTAAGAATATAAAAAAGAGCTATCGCAAAACGAAACTAGTAGACACTACTGCCTTCTCTCTGACATCTGTCAATTCTACCCCCCTGTCGAGTCATGCCTTTTAGGCAGCCGTGATCCACCAAAAGTACGCCAAATTTAGTAATGCGGAGGGAGCACGTGTTGAACCCTGTTCTAAGCTTGGCGCATTGCTCCCGTTATTTAAAACCCTCGCCTGACGTGTGGCACACACCCGTTACGCACCAGTCCGACAGGTGGCCTGGACCGAATACCAGTGGAAATGTGGATGACTGGAGCTGTCTGTAGTGGCCAGTGAGTCCTCATCGACTAGCCATACGCCGACACTAGGTCGTCT